TTAGACAGACCTAGTCTGATGAGCATTCATTCATTCATTTTATCCCTGCCCATCTCCCCCTAATGGGGGACTCTGGGTGGCTCACAACTCATTAAAACAATAAATAAATATACAATTACATAAAACCTAAAACCTGTACAAAACAATTACTAAGAAAGAAAGAGTCTGGGAAGCTGATGGTTCAGAGCAGCAAACGCCAGGCCTCTAAGGGGCTAGCCATCCCCACACCTGATGTCTTCCCTCCCGAAGCTGATGGTTCAGAGCAGCAAACGCCAGGCCTCTAAGGGGCTAGCCATCCCCACACCTGATGTCTTCCCTCCCGAAGCTGATGGTTCAGAGCAGCAAACGCCAGGCCTCTAAGGGGCTAGCCATCCCCACACCTGATGTCTTCCCTCCCCACCCAAGGCCAGATGGCAGAGCCAGGTCTTCAAATTCCTCTGGAAGGCCAGGAGTAAGGGGGCCAATCTCACCTCTGGGGACAAGATATTCCAAAGGGTGGGGGCTATAGCAGAGAAGGCCCGTCTTCTGGACCCCACTAGTCAGAGCTCTTTTACCAAGGTGGTCCAGAACATGCCCTCTCTGTGTGATCAGGTGGGATGGGTTGAAGTCATGGGGAAAAGGCAGTCCATTAGGTAACCTGGTCCCATGCCATGTAGGGCTTTAAAGGTGATAACCGATACCTTGAATTGGACCTGGAAGCAAACTGGTACTCAGTGCAGCTTGCGGAGCAACAGTGTTATATGGGTCCTTCTTGGGGCTCCAAAAGTAGCCCGCACAGCTACATTCTGGACCAGCTGTAGCTTCTGGATACTCTTCAAGGGTAGCCCCATGTAAAGTGCATTGCAGTAGTCTATCTGGGAGATAACAAGGGCATGAGTGACTGTTCGAAGGGCATCCTGATCCAGGAAAGGGCGTAACTGATGCACAACCCAAATGTTCATGTTATGATAGTATGTCCCATGAAATTCAGTTTGCATATGCTAGAAAATTGTTACAATTGTATATACAATCTTTATGTTGTTCATGGTAAGAATGAACATCTCTGTGCCCATCATTTATCAGAAATATATAAACACTTTATCAAATGTTATCATTTAGTATAAGAATACTTTCAATAGTATTATTATGAAATTAATTTAGTGCTTTATCTAGTGCTTTAAAAGCATCCAGCATAAAATCTTGACAAAACCTCAGATTTCACACTGACTTTAGATTACTTTCTGTAATAGTTGGTAACACTGAGAGTGCACCCTAATTATTTTTATAATTGGTGGGATTACAACTTTTGGATATGTTATTGTATTGTATTGTAACTGTTGTATAGACACAGATCCCTTATGGCAGGAGGGGGACAGGAAGATTTCTTCCATATTAATTTTAATTAATTGTATGTTCAGATATTTGTGAGTAGACATATCTACTGGTGTTTGTGAAAAGCTGAGCTTGGTTTTATGGTTCCTAAAGATATCGTCAAAGAGTGACCTGGAAACTTGTGAACTTGGCATTCAGTGATTTTAACCACCAAGTCCATCCATGAGTCACTTACTCAGTGCAAGAATCTCAATTAAACCATTCCCAACAGACAGCTCTTTAGCTTCTGCTTGAAATCTTAGATTTTTAAGTAATTAAAATTTTACAAACTAAATATGTAAGAGTGCATGCTAGGAGGCCATGTTATGGAGGACCTTAATGCAGTGAAATATGAAAGTTGTGAAGATTATAATAGTGTTAAGCTAATTCAGGACTCACCAATAAAATATTATTGCTGGGAGCCTCACCATTAGAGAAAAAGAGAGCAAGTTCCTTTTCAGCTCCTTTCCTTTCAGGTTGTAGTCTAACCAAGAAAAATCAAGGTATTAGTAAAGGAGGGCTCCTAAATTTAAAGCTTCTGACTTTTAAAGCCAGGTTAATTGCTGGTTAAACATTTGTTATCTAGGATTTAATTGATGAAAGTGCTGATCTGGCTTGTATTATGGAGATCTGTCTGAGAGAAGAGAAGGAGATTGATCTTTCCTGGCTCTATCCAGCAGGCAACTCTGTGATGCAGTTGGAGGAGTGAGAGATGATAGCAGTCTACAGGAGAGCCATCTCACTGGCCAGCAGCTTTGTCCAATAGTCTGCCAATTTTAGAATTTGTTGCTGATTTGGGATGGCTGATTTTGGAATTCTGCTAGTATACTGTCCACACCTCTGCACAGCTGTCTCCTCCTGAACCAGCCAGGGTGATTTCTGATATGACATTAGACTACCCTAGATTTCTTGTTTTGGGGGACTTTAGTGTATCTGAAAAGCCCAAGTCTGTCTCTGACAATCTTCAGGTTTAGAATACCAAAGTTTTCCTATCAAGTTCTGTTTTCTGTGATGGTTACTGATTAACAACATGTCCTTGCTTCAAAGAATTTATAGGACCTGTTTGTTTGCCCAATGCTGGAATGATGTTCGAGACTGACCAACAGTGTTGGATATCTGGATGGGGAGCCAAATACCAAGGAGGTAAAATGAGTTGCCATTAAAACCTCATTTTTTAATTATTACCAGTTCTTCAGTGTTACAGAAATGCTGTTTTATTTCTAATTTAAAAAACCAAAAACTATTTACTAGACCTCCATGTTCTAGAAACCTTTCAAACAGTTTAAGGCAGAGTGTTAGCTGAGGGCTGTAAGCATCATAAAATAGTGAGGAGTCTATCCTGGGATATGTTATGGGGAAGTAGATTTGCTGCCTTTACAAGAACATGAGCTGCTTGTCTCCTACAGATTTTATGCTTGGTTAAGGTAAGTGGATGTGTAGTAAGAATTAAATAAACATGTCTCTGAACATATCTTAGCTTGGGAATTAGCAATCATTTCCAAAGCCAAGCTCCTGAAACTTTTCACACAATCCAATCTGAAGTGTGTATGTATATTTTCACACACGGAGTGAGGGAGGAGGGGGAGGAAGAGTTAAGTTCTTAATGTGGAAAAGGTGGGAATTGGTGATCCACTGTGAATCACATAGAAATCTACTGAGAGATCTATAACTACTGACCCCCAACTTACATTTTCCTTATACAGTTTTGTGAATGAGCCCAAACATGTAAAATGACCGCTCCCCTGCATTTTTTAAAAATGAAGAATGAGCTAAAAAGGATAATAATAAAATATAGAGGAGAAATTAAACCCAGATAAGCCTTGCCCAGGAACTTTTCATCATTTTGGGTAATGCTGTGAGAAAATTTAGTATTTGCTTTTCCATGTGTAATTCTTGGGTCTTTCTCCAACTTTAGGTAACACTTCAAAAGAATTGAATGCAGCGCTTGTACCTCTGATAGACTCATCTATATGTAATGGAAGGTATTTTTATAATGGAATCATTTTGCCTACGATGATATGTGCTGGCTACTTACAAGGAAAAGTGGATTCTTGTCAGGTAAGTTATGAAATGTGAAGTATTTTAATATAATTTTGCAAAGACATGTAGTGGAATGCAAGATAGGACAGTCCAAAATAAGTGGAATCAGTAATAAAAATGGGGAGGCTACAATTCTTATTAGGGACAATTAGGGAAATTTAAAAACAACCCATGTAACAATTCCCTTATTGCTGTTCTCTGTCATCTCCGGGTGTCCTGCAGTTTCTGCTCCAGCCAAATGGACAATGATCAGATTGTTCTGAGAAAGCAGGGGTGCCTTTGGAGTTACAGCTTAATACAACTAAGGGAATGCTTGCTTCAAAAAAAATGTAATATAATGGATACTAATATAAAACAGACATCCTGCCTTCTCTATAGCTTCTTGTCTGTATCCTGCTTTTTTATTGCAAATTATGTGGAGCTAAGACCTTTTGCAACATGATATTTCACAGAAGTCTTTCAGCAAATTACACTCGAAGTCTTTTCTTGGAGGAGGTTGCAGGCCCAGCAACCTCAGATTAGAACCTTCCACCTGATACTCAGTTCTGCCTAACACATCGGTAATTTCTTTTGCATTCCATGAAACTTTTGCTTGAAGCTCAAGATACAGCCTTTCATTATACATAACTGTTCTCCTTTAAGAGAACATTGGTTAATCTATAACATTTTAGTTGGAAATAGCTGTCAGATTTTGTATACCTTCTCAGATGGGATATTTATTCAGTTCATTGAGGCAGAAATGCTACAATAAGTTTATGCCTTGTATTTTGTTTTAGGGTGATAGCGGTGGTCCATTGGTAACCATGAAAAATGTTTTGTGGTGGCTAGTGGGTGACACAAGTTGGGGAACAGGCTGTGCTACTCAATTTAAACCTGGAGTTTATGGTAACATTACTATGTTCACAGAATGGATTTACCGAAATATGCAGGTAACTTTCTAATATTTGGTAGAGCAACCCTAACTTGCTTTTCATGGTGATCAAATATGACATGATAACTGGAAAATGTGCATCTACATATCTTAAAGTTACGGAGGATGAGAAATACTGGTCTAGAGGAAGAGACTTTTAATTTCATGCAATTTGTAGAAAACTATTTGCCTTGTCCTATTAGCCCTCACTCCCAGTTTTTTCTCCCTTGCTTTATTGATCTTGCTCATTATGGAAAGAGACCAAGAGAATTATCTGCCAACTTTCCCTGACCAAAAATTAGAACTTGCTTTGGGTACTTGGGTCTGGCTTTATAACTCCCCATTTTGTTCTTGCATAATGACAAGTCATGCTACAGCTGTGTCCATAACTTATTCTTTAATTTACTGGGGGGAAATACAATAAGTACTTACATATTAAACACATAGAAAATGTTGGCATTTTCCTTCCATTCTAGAATTAAATTTGTCCACTTCTGTGACATGTGGATCTCCTGGCATCTGATTCTTTGACTTAATTTATCAAATAAAATTTGCAATGGACATTTAGACCATCAAAAAGTAGACACAATTCCTATGTAACATTTCTATGTGGAGAAGAAATTCAAAGTTGTATACAGTCATAGAGAGCCAGTTTGGTGTAGTGGTTAAGGCACCAGGCTGGAAAGTGGTAGACTGTGAGTTCTAGTCCTACCTTAGGCATGAAAGCTGGCTGGGTGACTTTGGGCCAGTCACTCTTTCTCATGCCTAGAAAGAAAGCAATGGCAAACCACTTCTGAAACCTTGCCAAGAAAACTTCAAGGACTAGTCCAGGCAGTTGTCAGAAGTCAACACACATAGCATACGCCCACAAACACACAAATATAGTCATGCTCTTTTCTACTGTCTGTGGTGATTTATGGTTTTCATGTCCTAGGAGTTTAAAATTCCATATGACAAAAATTATGTCTCTGTGTTCATGTATCCAAGAGCGCAATATGTTCATGTATCTGGGTATAAAAGACCCTTCATTTTGCCGGATGTTCACTGATATTATTTAAGTTCTGATTGTCCCTTTGAATATGTCACCAGTCTTGAAACTGACTAATTATGGACAGGAATCTCTGAAATATGTTTGTTTTTCTTAACAGGCAAACAGATGATATTGTTTCCTTTGAATCATTTCAATCAAGAGTGGATCAGTCCTTTTGTTTCTTGTAAATCCTTGGTTGTGCTTTTAAAAATGAACTCTGGGTCCTCAACACTTCATATGCAGATAGTAATTGGAATGTTTGCAAACTGGTTCCATTTGCACTGACTACCATCACATCAAGCAGCTGAAGTTACACAAGAGCCTGTTTTCTTGAATCTGGTATTAACGTCAGGTGGCAAACCCATTTTTACCAGTTACTTGCTGATTTCCTTTATTTCTGAAGATTCCCTACCAGTTGGATTTTATTTTTAAGTTAAGAATCATGTTGGTAAATTACCAATTCTGTTTTTGCCTTTGAAATCAAATGCAACATCTCAATGTTTTATAATAATGTTTAATATTTAGGGTATTAATGTTGAGTATATCAGGGCTGCTGGATGGCCCAGTTTTTTAAAGTGAGAAAGAACCACGGGAACATTTTGATATATTTCTTCTGAATATTACTATGCATCTCTTGTATTCAGGTATTTATTACTTTTATTCTCCCATTGGTGTTAATGATTCTGAAACTATACAATTTGATAAACACTATGTCTCTTCCCAAATATGTGGATAGATTCAAGATCAGTTTGGTATAAAAAATAGAAATATCTTGGACTTCCAGGCTCATATCTTTGATGCAGAATGAACAAAATAACAAGTATTCTAAAATGTCAGTAATTTTGTTTCTGGTCTGGCAGCTGGACATGTGCTAGATAGGTCCTTAACTGTTGAACCTGAAAGTGATAAGCAAGGGATAGTTAACACTTCTGCCTCTTTTCTAAGCAAAGAATAGAAAGTTATTTTGTGAAGGTGCATTACATACTGATTTGAATCCGTCAGTTCCAGATCTCTGGAACAGGGAAAAAAGGAAAACTCAGCTGAGGAAAATAAAAATAATGATCTAATTATAACTACCTCGTTTTATAAAACAGTGACAAAATTGGAATGTGTTGAGAAACTGCATTGGTCTGTTTTTTTCTTTAAAAAATCCTATTTATGGTTTTAATAATGAAGACAGAAGCAAAGATTTAAAATTTTACAAATTGATTAGTATAATCACCAATCATTGGCATGTTAGGAGTATGCCAAGTTAGGAAAGGCTGCTATTGCAGCAGTAAAATCTTGGTTCTATGAGTCCTGTGATTTGGACATAATGAATTATGCTGCTATTGAAAAGCACTTTTTAAAATATATTTGTTGGTGGGAAAATTCCACTTCAGGTTTTGAAAGTGCAATACTTTATATAGTGAAGTGCCATTGAAATGATTACTGAAAACATTAAATGTATTGCAGTATAATGAAATTAATATAAATCATTCATAATTGTTAATCGTCACTGCAATTTTAGTTAGTACATATCAGGGAATTTTTAAGTTTTGAGAATGAAATACACTGTTCCTTGTCTTGTATTCAAAGAACTTGAAAAATAAACTTTTTACAAATACAGTATTATCTTTATAGCTATTTTTGTTTTTTCTGCACAGTTTATCAGATGTAGGGCAGATCTTCACTGAAATGAGTGAGAACTGGGGCAGGGAAAGTGAATAAAGGTGAATAAACCAAAGATATGCATAAATATTTCAGCATAGATTGTACATTTTAAATGATGTTGGGAGGAGAGGGGTAAAAACATGCTTCATCCCAGATGATTTGTCAGCTGTGCTCCCACGTCAGCAGTGACTTGGTAACAGTGGTGACTTTACACTGTCTGCAGTGTAAAGATCCAAGGTTAGGAGTGGTCTTGTCTCCCATACTTCCAGTGGCAAGTCATGTTTGACCAGACTTGAGAATAGGAACACTGTATGGAAAGAGTGTGAAGAAATGAAGTGAAATTAGCTAATTCTATTCCATTTGTTATAAGCTTTTTGTGCTTTCTCTCTCTCATACTAATCTGTATAAACTGAACAAACTTCTCCCTTTGTGAAACTGGAGAACAATAGGACACATTCCTGGTAGCCCCAATTAATACACAGATGCAGCCCCTGAGAAAGCAGTTTGATCAATTGTGGATATCTTTGGGTAGTTCTGCTGAAACTGAGAAGTGCACTAAAGGATCAGTTATATTGGAACTTTGAATCAATAAAACTATGTGATTGTTGTTGAAACATATCCTGTTGCCCACTGGGAACAAAGATTCTAAATTGGTCAAAGAGAAGCCAGCCCAACAGTGTACCTGATAAAAGTTGCCTCAGCTGATATAACAATTCTGGACCACAGCACCCACAGCATTTACCAAAGATGGCGTAAGAGGCTGGCTTAAATTGACTCTCAGATCTTATTCCTTGGATAAGGACACTCTGCTGACCTCTTGTGGTCATTTTCCCAGTTGCTTCCTCTTATTTTCCAATTGGGGCTTATCAAGGCTTGACCTTATCAAGGCTGAGCTGCAGACTTCACGGTCATCCGGGTGCAAATATCAGCACTGAGGCAGCACCAATATAAACCCACCAAATACAGGGCTGGGTCTCACACTATACCTATGATGCCACAGCCTATGAGATGCAATAACATCTCCAGTGGTGCATGTACATATTGGATGTGAAGGGATGAAAGCTTGTGGAACACTATAAAGGCAGGATCCAGGAGCTGAAGAAAAGGTGCTCATCGTTACTAAGTGGATTCAATCCTCCAAATGAAACCTGGACATCCAGTCCAACCAGGATCTGGAGCTTCCACATCAATAACCTGTTCTTTTTTTTTTTTAATCTGTCAGAGTGGAGAGAGATGGATGTTACATTACATCATATCCCCACATACAGAGTTTTACATGACTTCTACCACCACCTTTGGGGGAGGAGAAAATTTATTTTTACAGTGTATAGTATATATTGTGGCGTGTTTTCAGATATATTGACTACCAGAAAGCAATATGTGACCAATGGGATTTGTCAGATGTACATAGCCAGAATTTATTCTATTGGATTATTTTATAGGGCTTCTACTCTGCAAGTTTAATGGAAGGTGGATAGTATATCCAGGTCTATGAGTTCAGTTTCCAGTAAAAGTGTTTGAACCCCATAGAATTAAGATATCTCTGATAAGTCCTCATGGATCTAATCATGAGTAGCTTCCTGGTGGTCAATGTAAGTGAAGACACCACTGTGTAAAAATAGACTTGTGTAAAACCCTGTATGTGGGACATAATGTAATGTAGCATCCATATCTCTCTGCTCTGAGAGTTTAAGGAAAGGTGGACTGTATTTTCTATTCTGATATATTTCTTTGCAGCAAACCCTCATATAACTGTCTAAAAGTGGTGAGCTTCCAGAGAAGCAATAACTAAAATAAAATCATGTTACAAGCAAAGGAATAATAATTATTTATACATTTCAATGAGCCTAGCACAAGATAGCCCTCCCCTTATCTTTACTCACTTGAGAGAGATGTTTAGGCCCTGCTATTTTTGCTCTTAGAAAATGAACCTAAAAATTTCAGCGCTCTTTTAATCTGGAATCATAGTTATTTTATCTGTCATTTATATGTTTTTAATTGGGCTTTTAACTGTTTAATGTGTTAAGCATGTCATCTGCCTTGAGAAGCCATCCATAAGGACCAGAGGGGTCAAACAGTGGTTAGTCAAATACTGTATATAATGATTTTATCCATATTTTGCCACATATTCATGTTGCATCTTGTGGGAGACTTAGCTTTTTTCCCTTCTATTGTTCCTTACTACAGCCTTGTGCTGTGCATAGTCCAGCTAATACCTGAATAAATAACTGGTTGGGAACCCCATATCGGTCATTTTGAGTTGCATTATGAAAAATAAAGATGTTAAATAATATAATCTACAGAACGTTTACTTATACAAGTATATGTACTCATTGGCAAATAGTTAAGAAATGAACATCTCTGGATATCACCGACTGAGGGATAAACTGGTCCCAGGTGATCTGGGCTCTAAAAGATAAGCTTTGGTACCTTCCCTTGACACTAAAATTGCAGCTTGTTTGCTTAAAGGGAACTACTGTCAGGCCTAGCCCAAGGAACTCCCAGAGACCATGTAAATTCAGTCCAATGTTTATTAGCTACAACCTCTAGCAAGAATCTTCCCAGACTGAAACTCCAGCTCCCAAGCAATGCCAGCCACAACATTGTGAATTCCTCAGGGAGGTGCCAGCCTCATCCTCTTCGCTCTTCCCCGCGACTCAGGAGATGAAAGAAAATGTTTTTCTCCGAGTCTGGCCTTCATGATTCCATTCCATCACAACTACTGAGACCTCAATGTTTAGTTGGCCCTGGATTCCATTCTTTGTTGCATTGTTGCAGCGTGAGAGATCCACCTGCTTCTGTTGAACAGTGAGTAAGTCTTAAATCCAAGCAAAGGCTGGGAAGACTATAATAATATAACATCCCATGATAACTAACCATTCCTTTTTGAAGATCCACTGCTGTTTGCAATCTTTATTTGCTGAATGATCAAAATGTAGATCTTGAGGTGGCTGTGACTTAACCATCTTCCTTTGTTGCTCCCAAAGCATACAAATATTCAGTCTAGTAGCACAACTGAATGTATTGATTCAATGTTTCTATTGAACTATACAACTATTTCCTTGTATGCACACATGTGTGCAGCTCATTTTCAGTTAGGTCTTTTCCAGCTTGGTGTCTTACAGCAATCTTGGGATTGTAATGAAGGCATGCTGGCAGATTCTGAATTCAGAATTCTGGGAGTTGCGGTCCCAACACATCAACCTCCACTTGTCCTAAATTGTATTTCTACAATTTATTCTATTTATTCTACAATTTATTCTATTGTATTTGTATGAAAAGTAAGGGATGTACTGGTGTATGTAAAAGACAAATGGTTGACAGTAAATTCTTGGCCCTTTCCCAAAAAATGAGTGCCAAGTCATATCCCTCTTTTGCAACATTCCACTAAAATGTCACTGCTATTTAAGATGTTCAGCTACTAGTGATCACCTATTTATCTTTAGAGGGTAAGCATCTTAGGGTGGCCTTCTAATGGTTTTAGTACAGAAGCAAAGATCAGTTAGAGCAGGGTCCTCAAACTTTTAAACAGTCCCTCAGAATGTTGGGGGGGCGGACTATCTATCTATCTATCTATCTATCTATCTATCTATCTATCTATCTATCTATCTATCT